TCAAACTGGACACATCCCAAAGAAGTTACCCTTCATCTGTAGTTGCAGCAAAGCAACTTCTCTTATACAGGGCTTATCTGCCTATCCAAACCCATAGGGGGGTTATGGTCGCACTGTATCCAAGTGGCTGGGAAGGATCGTGGCTGAGGCACTGTGGTTAAAGTAACTCCGACATATCCAAGTGGACAAGAAATATCATTTATTCTCCCCAAAATACATTCTTCTAGAGCTATAATCCCCTTTTGCAGTTCTCTGTTATACTTTCATCTCATTGACCTCCAGTGCAGAGGGACTGACACATACACATGCTCACGTGAAGTCTTTCCAAGGTTGGGATCTCTGTGTATTCAGAATGGTCTGCTACATTGCTCATTCTTTTAAGAAACAAAAATCCCTGAGTGTGCATTATCCCCATAAATTCCTTGTTTCCAATCTTCGAATTAAAACTTACTGAAGCAAAAATTTGTGCCAGAGAGGCACATTTAACACATGATCGCGCCATCAGGAGAGATGACTTTCATCATCCCTATACCTTTTGATGAGCTTGTTTTTCAGATATACTTGCTTCAGTTATGATCACTAGATAGTTGTTACTGAAGAATGTGTATTTTAACATGGTATTGGACAAAAACTTGATAAATCTCAAGGGATAGAGGAGCTGCAGGCAGTAGTGTCACTAATGGGAACAGAATGGGTAATGTCATCACGCACCTATGGACATCCAGTGACTGATGGTTGGAATGACATTTTAAAGCATGGGGTTTTCGAGGCAAATACTTCTTCAAAGGTTAAGGAAGAGATGAACTGACTCTAGCTTCTGAAGCCACAGAGTGTGATGTAGTTTGGGAAAATCATCATCCATACTGGTCACAGATTTCAAACACTGCTTGTGTTCAAATGATGCAGCACGCCTTCAAATTTTCTGCTAATACACTATTTGCATGTCTGAGACATTGATGGAAATCTGTTGTGAACTTTGAAGACCTTTGTTCTTCAAAACTGTGCAATCAGCATTTATTTCCCAGGAGATTCTGATGGAGATACTCACAATTTAGACATAATTTGCATGTCTCTGGGGTGGAGAGATTACAGCACCAACCTCTGCCTTAAAGTCTTCTTATGCATTGTATGCAATTACTTTTTAATCCAGAAATTGTCTTTGAAAAAGAAATTGAAATGTTGCACATTGCAATGTTCTTTAAGACCATGCAAAATGAAGACAAAGTTATTTGCTTTCAAGGGAAGAAGAAAGAATATTATACACTTCTGTAGGTAGCGACCATTAATTTGGAGTATAATTTTGTATAATAGTGCAAGACACTATAAGGAAAGAAAATACTATATCAGCAAATGTAAAACTGGTGACTTCAATTATGCAAAGTTAAGTTGTGCAGAACTTTTAGCCCCCAAAACCCACACGCACCCTCAATTTGACCTGAATTGTTTTTCCCGGAGTCTGACATAGGAATAAAGAAGTTCAAATTGCCAAATCCTGAGATGAAGGACTTTGACAGTTTCCAAATTGAAGACCAGCGTCTCAAATCCCTTCATGGAAATGCAATAGTTTAATACGAAATGAACAGGTCAAACGGCTGATACCCTTTCATCCTGAGTCAAGGAAGTAAAACAACATTTTCCCTTGGATCAGCTTTTTCCCAGGAAGTACCTTTGAGTCTGGCAAACTGCAGTCAGCTCTGCCAAGTGCTTTCTGTAGAAACATTATCTTCTGGATAATGGACATTATCTTCTTTGTGCAGCTGCTGGAGGGAAAATCAGTTTGGTTCGGAGTCGTAGCTGTAGATATCTCAGTAACTTATGGACTTCATGAAGTGGAAGGAGGGGGTTCATGGGGTGGTTATCCCATGCATCTTTCCTGATAAACATATTCATCTGTGTTAAATGATGTATGCTGCACAGATCATGTTTAGGATGCAAAATCTCTTCCTTAGTAGCTGAGGTGAATCAGTTCATCTGGCCAGGAATTAACAGAGCTCGTAAGGCTTTAAGATAAAAGAAACTTCTATAGGGGAACACATACCTTATGAAATTAAAACAAGGCAACAGTGAAGAAGAAGTACATCATCAGCTAAGAATGGTTTGCATACAAGACATCTTTAGCAATTGGATGGTAAGTGGCTTCGTGCACAGAGTACATCTCAGGTCCTCAGACACTTGGGAAGCAGTATAAAAACCAGCTCTGTGCAAGTCACTGCCATCCACTTTTTCTCTTTTATTCTCCTCGGTGAAAGGGTAAGTCTGAATCCACTGCCTTTCTCTGTTTTGAATTGTTGCATTTGTATTATTTTATTTTTCTGTATTGGCTTGTTCATAGCTGTCTAAAGTTTATCCTCTTCCTCCCTTTCAGTATCTAAAGGGAGCCTACAAACAGAAGGGGACTCAACTCTAGACAAGGGTAGATAATGGCAGGACAAAGGGAAATGGTTTGAAGTAGAAGGAGGGAAGACTGAGGTTGGATGTTAGGGGAAGTTCTTTCCTGTGAGAGTGGTGAGGTGCTGGAACAGCAGCCCACAGAGATTGTGGATGTCTCATCCCCGGAGGTCTTCAAGACCACATTGCATGGGACCCTGGTCAGCCTGATATAGTACTAGGTATGGAGGTTGGTGGTCCTGCCTGTGGCAGGGCTGTTGGACCTTGATGATCCTTGAGGTCCCTTCCAACCCAAGCCATTCTACAATTCTATGATCCTTGCGTGGAGGGAGGGGAGCTGAGGGCAACTTTCTGTATAGAAGAGCAGCTTTAAGGGGTTGCATTTGCTGGGCACAAGTCTTCACATTCATTTTTCAATGGGTCACTGGTGCATTCTGGTCCAAGACATTAAAATCTGTGTACATAAATAACCGAGAAAATCGAAGTGGTTGTGAAGAATCTCCCGGCTTTCCAGGACAGGGGGGTCATAAAGATGTCCCCTCTTCCTACCTCCTACAGGCACCAGGCATCCTGAAGGGTGCTGAAAGAAATGAGCTCCCAGACTGCTCTGGATAGGTGGAGGTGCCCCTTGTGATCTTTTCTGTAGGGCAGAGGAATTGAGGTCTCATTTGTGGTCTCCTTTCAATCTAAGAATGCATCACTTTTTCCCCAGAGTCTCTAGTGAGTTTCTGGTACTCTCCACTGTCTCAGGAGCTCAATCATGTGATTGTAATTACAACTTCTTTGTTACCGCCTTCTCTGTGTTTCAGATCTCCTTCCAGCCCAGAGAAATGTCCTGCTATGACCTGTGTGCTCCCACCCCATGTGGCCCAACGCCATTGGCCAACAGCTGCACTGAGCCCTGTGTGCGCCAGTGCCAGGACTCCACCTACATCATCCAGCCCTCTCCTGTGGCGGTGACCCTGCAAGGACCCATCCTCAGCTCCTTCCCCCAGAACACCACTGTGGGATCCTCAGCCTCTGCAGCTGTGGGAGATGTTCTCAGTGCAGCGGGTGTCCCCATCTCCTCTGGCAGCTCCTCAGCTATTCGGGTCTGGGGAGCCTTTACGGGAGGTCCTACTGCCAGTACAACCGCTGTGGGAGCTATGGGCCGTGCTAAAGCCTCATGCAGAAAGCACAGATGAAATAACAACTAGAAGCTTGAAAGCTTGATCCAAATGCAGGACTGAGTTCATGACCACAGCCCTGTGCTTGCTGACCACTCTCAGCTTTGCCCTGAGCTCATGGGACTGCAGTAGCTTGGCATTTCTGATCCAATGCCTTTCTATGAGGTGAAAAATGTAACATATAGTTGCACTAGGAGTTGACTGTCCTGCTGTAAAGCATTGCCTTGAATTAGGAGATGAGTTTAATCCACATTGAAACCTATTGCTTATGCTGTTCATTTTTTAAGTTGTTCTACTTCTTGCTCTTCAAACTCATGCAGAAAGACAAAACTCATGCATGTTGTTTATGATGCATCATAAACAACACACTCCTCTGATGTCTTTTTCTCTCCTCTTTATATCGTTCTGTGGAATAAATTTATCAGTGTGTCAAGTTGTCAGTGTCAAGTAGATCTTCATATGAATCAGACCATACCGGTTAGCAAGGACATTTAAAACATAAGTAATGATTAAAACCCCTTTTTTTTTGATGGGGTGTTTTCCCTAACCATATTTCTTTCAGTACAATATTAAATATTCATTCCTGGCTAACAAACAGTAGGGAAAATCAATCCTGTCTTGCAAGCAGCATGACCTTTCATCTCCTGCTCTTTTGTGGAGCTCATAAATCCTCAGCAAACTCTGCTAATATTGTTCTGACTCATCTTTCACGCTATGAAGAACAATTTGCAATAAAAAACATCCGTAACTAAAAAAAAAAATATTAGATAAAGGAAAATTAGGGGGAGAATTGTATGGTTCTTCCTTTGTTTGCTTAGGAATGCTGTAATTAGGGGTTGGTGGGGGCCTTTGAGGCAACAGGAAATCCTCAGAGCAATAACAATTACACTTCTCATTCTAAATCCTGGGGAAGATAATGACTTCTAAATTGCTAAACAAATATTCATTAGCACTGTGCCTAAAGGATCTCAGTTGAACTCCCATTCTACAGACTGAAAGGACCTGGAGCCGCAGGTGCTGTGATCACTTAACCCTGCACACCAGGGAGTGCTGCTCCCACACGAGGCTGAGGGAGGAAGAAAGAAAAGAGAGGCTCACGTGCAACACCACAGGGCTTTATTGGGACACAAGAACATAGCAGGCAGTTACAGAAACTCAAGGTGGTCCAAGGGAAAATTATCAAGGCAGGGACTGCACTGAGGCTACAGTAGCCTGCTCAGGATCCAGGGGACAGTGGAGGTGGCAGGAAGATGCAGGGAACACCAAAGCTGCAGCCAGGGCTCATGGTAGCACAGGTGAGTGAGGCGTGGGGCACACAGCGTGCTCCTGTCCCCATGCTGGGGCAGCTGATGGGTGCTGCCGGTCCCCTCAGCTCCTGCTCCATGTCCAGCTGCTGCAGCCCGTGCTTCAGGGCTGTTTCTGGCTCTGGGCATCATGGCACTGGCTTTAGAATGCTCCGCAGCTCCCGCGGCGGGATCTGCCCCACCGCTGGGCACCAGGGAGGGAATAGCCAGCACCGCAGGAAGAGAGGCCAGAGCTGTAGGACCTGCCACAACTACCAAAGCCACTGGAGCCATACTGGCCCCCATAGCCCAGGGAGCCCCCATAGCTCATGTCATCCCCATAACCCAGGCAATTCCCATAGCCCTGAGATCCTCCATAGTCCCCCAGACCAAAGGAGCCACCATAGCCCCGGGATCCTCCATAGCCTCCCAAACCAAAGGAGCTCCCAGAGCCCCAGGATCCTCCATAGCCTCCCAAACCAAAGGAGCTCCCAGAGCCCAGGGAGCCCCCATAGCTCATGTCATCCCCATAACCCAGGCAACTCCCATAGCCCCGGGATCCTCCATAGCCTCCCAAACCAAAGGAGCTCCCAGAGCCCAGGGAGCTCCCATAGCCCCGGGAACCCCCCAAGCCAAAGGAGCTCCCATAACCTCGAGACCCTCCCAGACCAAAGGAGCCCCCAGAGCCCAGGGAGCTCTGGGAGCTGAAGGAGCCCCCCATTCCGACTGGGCCTGACGATCCAACAATGCTCTCCTGAGGAAAAGAAGTGAGCACGGGGCCGGGGACTGTCACCACCACCGGTGGAGGCAAGATCACTGCTCTGGAGTCGGGGCACTGCTGCACACATGGCTCATTGTAGCTCTCGGCAATTGGCTGAGGGCAGCTCACCCCATAGGGTCTGCAGGACTCCATGCAGCTAGACATCCTTCTTGGGGTCGTTATGAGTCTGCAACAGACAGC